ATTTTTCATTAACGTTCTGTGGCCAGGTATATGTAACTCTTTGTAATACATTTTCGGGTCCATCAGCGGGATGGTTATCTGATGTAAAGAATGATAAACAAAGCGGCATATGGGAAGATCCTACTTCTGTCATTACCTTAAAGTCACTTATAATAGATCTTTTGGGTTATCATCATATATCAAATAGTTAATAGTCAAAAACATCCGATATCAAACTACCGTATTTCCTCTATTAGACGCCAGGGCGTCTATGAATTTCGCAAGAGCTGTTGACCCAGCATGTATCAGAGACCAATCGTGTAATGGGAGAAATATCGATACGTTTTACAGTTCCTATGGGTTATCGATCGGCAGCCATTTTTTAGGAATCGATAGGTAGGCTATCGATGTACTAGTATTCATGCGCACGTTTTTTGTCTCCAAAATCGGGAGAGATATGACAATCGGTATTGGGAGAAAAGATACAGGTAATCAGCGTGAGGATTGTGAGAATATGAGGTTATTATCCACCGGTGCATAAAATAGACTTGTCCGTCATTGTTATTAAAATACGGGTAAATATGTTTAAAGCTTGTACATTTTATCATCATCCTTGAAGTGCTGTAAATAATGTTGATATCTCATATAAGAAATAAACTAAACATCGTTCTTCATTTTCTTTGCGATATATCCCGTCTCTATCTTATATACACATCTATGCTGCACGTGTTTTTTTTCTCTTCACTTTGATCGCATTCCCGTTATACCGCGACATCCTGTAGCGGTTCACTATAAGATATCTCAATGTTTACATATTCTTTCTGTTATTTCTTGCATTTAGACGGTTTATAAGTGAAATAAAACACTCCTTCTCGGTTATGGTGGAGGACGTTGTTGTTGGTTTGTTGTTTAACGCCACACTCAGCAATATTCCAGCTATTCGAGAAAGTGAGACGTGGGCAATCGGGTATCGGCAATGTAAGACCGAACCTCGGAGTCGTGCTTTTTCCTTCACAAAACGCCGTGGACCCGTGAACATTCAAGGGGTAGAATAGGTCTTCAGCAACCCATGCTTGCCGTAAAAGGCGACTATGCTTGTCGTAAAAGGCGACTAACGGGATCGGGTGGTCAGGCTCGCTGACTTGGTTGATACATGTCATCGATCCCAATTGCGTGGATCGATACTCATGATGTCAATCACTGGATTGTCTGGTCCAGATTCGATTATTTTACAGACCGCCATCATATAGCTGGAATATTGCTGAGTGCGCCGTTAAACAACAAACAAACAAACATAACGCCGTGATATAACTGAAACACTCTTTAAAGCCGAGTGAACCTCACACGCCACGCGGCCTCGGTTCGGTGATGTATGGTTAAATGCCAGCTGTTTTATATACCTACAATACAACACACAAGTTGTTTCACGCGTCTGCGGATTTGGTCAATACAGTGTGTATGATAATGCAACCCAATCAATAATATTATACAGTTCTATTGTCATACAATCCAGTTTGTTTTGGGTGAGGCTGTAAGCATGACGCTACAACGTCGCTACCGTTGCCTACTTCGGGTTACGCGGGGTAAGTCTTCAGATTATTATTAATATTGTTGTTGTTGTTGTTGTTGTTGTTGTTGTCGTAATGCAAAGTAACCCAAAAGATGGATTGTCAATTTGACGAATACTTTGGAATAGATGTACAGTCGTTGCAGAGTAATCTTGTTCTCACTGGCACTAAACTCCGACATGCATTGGGAGTTGGAATATCTACTGGCAGTGTAAACCGGGATTTAATGAAAAACATTATCTGGATTTGCCTTCCCAAGATACCAGGATGTGCATGAGTGTAACGCCGCACTCAGCAATATTCCAGCTATATGACTTCGGTCTGTAAATAACCGTCTCTGAACCAGGCAATCCAGTGATTGACATCATGAGCAATGATCAACGCCGTCTGCATGGGTCACGGGGACTGACCACCCGACCCTTCTGGCGATTTGTGGCGAAAACAGGATTTCCTGCATTTGAACCAGGATTCGAAATAAACGTGTTGAGATTTATACCAAGCCTACCAATACCTGGGTATGTATAAAATATGTCAATACTCTACCAACCATACCGGGTTTCGTACCGAGCCTACCGGGTTTCATACTGAGCATAGTGGGTTTCGTACCGAGCATAGTTTGTTTCGTACCGAGCCTACCGGGTTTCATACCGAGCATAGTGGGTTTCGTACCGAGCCTACCAGGTTTCATACCGAGCATAATGGTTTTCATACCGAGCATAGTGGGTTTCGTACCGAGAATACCGGGTTTCATTCTGAGCATAGTTGGTTTCGTACCGAGAATACCATGATTTCATACTGAGCATAGTGGGTTTCGTACCGAGCCTACCGGGTTTCATACTGAGCATAGTGGGTTTCGTACCGAGCCTACCGGGTTTCATACCGAGCATAGTTTGTTTCGTACCGAGCCTAACGGGTTTCATACCGAGCATAGTGGGTTTCGTACCGAAAATACCGGGTTTCATACTGAGCATAGTGGGTTTCGTACCGAGAATACCATGATTTCATGCTGAGCATAGTGGGTTTCGTACCGAGAATACCGGGTTTCATACTGAGCATAGTGGGTTTCGTACCGAGAATACCGGGTTTCATACTGAGCATAGTGGGTTTCGTACCGAGAATACCATGATTTCATGCTGAGCTTCGCGTCGAGCATACCAGGATACGTACCAAGTATAACAGGATTCATGACAAGCATACCGGAGCATACCGGAATTCGTACCAAACATACTGTGATTCACAACAAACATACCGGGATTCGAACCGAGCATACCGGGATTCGTACCGACCAGACCAAGATTCGTACCGCGCATACCAGGATTCGTACCGAGCATACTAAGAATCGTTACGAGCATACTACGTGTCGTATCAGTTGGAGTCGATCTATTTTCATTTTTAGACTCAATGTAACCAATGTTTATCGCGCTATTTCGAACATGCTACTTAATTTCACAAATGAATTCATTTTTCTAGCCGTGCACCCATAGGTCTTTAAATGCACACTCTTCAAAAAAAGAAACGCACAGGTAGAATTTTAGTAAATTTATTGTAAATAATAAAGTCGATATATTTAATTTAATATCATAGATAGATAGATAGATAGATAGATAGATAGATAGATAGATAGGCGTTGGCCAATTGTGGAAGTGTCTGCGACGTTGACGTACACGTCGATCGAGTTCATCCAAGAGGTGTTCGATTGGGTTGAGACCTGGAGATCCCGACGGCCAGGGCAAATCGTTGATGTTGGCATTATGAAGGTAGTCTACCGTGAAACGAGCTGTGTGCGGTGGAGCGTTGTCTTGTTGAAACAGCTCCCTTTGGCGGTCAATGATTGGAAGAAGGTGAGGTTAAATAATTTGATTCATGTAGCGATTTGCTGTCAAATGTCCTTGAACCACAACCAAGTCAGATCTCGTGGTTTTTGCCCCCACACCATGACAGTACCGCCACCGAATTTGTCGAATTCACGTACACAATGTGGGGCAAACCGCTTATTTTGACGACGATAAACACGTTGTCTTCCATCTCGCCGGTGAAGAAGAAATCGTGGTTCATCGTACACGTCTCCAGTTTCTCAAATTCCAAGGCTGTAAGGTATGGCACCAAAGCAAGCGTCGCTGTCGATGGATCTGTTGCAAAACAGGGACGATAACTGGTCTTCTGGGTCGGATTCCAGCCTCGCGAATATGGTTCCTGACAGTCTGGTCCGATATCCTCCTCAAACCAGGGATGCGTCCTGTAGTCTCCGTAGCTGTGGCATTGCGATGACGTAGGTGGAACAGTCGAATGTAGCGATCCTGTGAAGGGATGGTAACTCTTGGTCGGTCTGTTCTCGGTCGGTCTGCAGTGGAATTGAACTGTGTGTATCGGTCCCAAAGGCGGCAAATGGCTCTGTTGTTGGCGTTGAAGTGGCATGCAACAGAAGACTGCGACTCCCCTCTTTGGATACCTCCTATGGCGATGTTCCGATCAGCAGCGCTGAGTCTCGGCATTTTCGATCTTAATAAATGTTGACAATTGAATGACAAATTATTGGCTTATGGTGGCATTTTTATAGCCACTACCACGAGTTACGAATGCAATAACTTGCACGTGCATTTTGCTTGACTGTTTTCCTCTATTCCATTTTTGAGCAAGTGTGAAAACAATGCCGTTTAAGACATTGCAAATCGACAATGGCTGCGTTTTGACGCACTGTTTGTCGAATATAAGGCCACCAATATTTTCCAATAACATATATCCAATTTATAATACCGGATTTTTTGTGTAGTCAGGTTCAATGAACTACTACATACTACCTGTTCGTTTCTTTTTTTGAAGAGTGGATGTCTTTTTTGTTTTTTTAATTTTATTCTTAAGCTCGCAATCATTACGTATTGCAACTGTTGTTTATTTTTAAGGTATTTCTTGTTTTTAACATTTTGATTTCGAAAGTTAGTTTGTTCAGAATTCAGAAGTTGTATCCGTTTTGACTGTGTATGTACCTTTCACGAAGAGTCATGCGCCAGCATACACAGTGGTAGATCAATATGTTACAGTTTATATGGTCAATAGGTCCATTGTCCCTATCAGGGCGACCGTGGCCGCTGGTCGATATACAATAACAAAGTCGCCTTTCCCTGTGCAGAGTTGCGTCTCTTAGGCGTGTCAGGAACCTACGAATTGTGGGTTCGAATCCAGGTTTGCCATGGTTATGTTTCTGGATTTGTCAGCACCATGTCCTTCCTCGTTGGTTTCACCAAAGCGGTATTACCTGCATTACTTCGGGCTTTCATCCCACATATAGCTGACACGCCCTGATAACGGAAATTTGGTAGAGGCATACTGTTACGTGTTGATTCCCAAATTGAAACAATATGTTATCCCAGAAATCTGTACGTAAAAGAATTTAGTGTGAAACCAACAAACAAACAACAACTGTATTACAAAATTAACTATTATCAATTAAATTAATCAATACAAATTACTACACGGTAATTACAGTGTCAGTATTCGTACACAATAGAATGGTAGTACAATATTCAATGGCAGTATAAAAGATGAGAGCAGTGGAAATGACAATGACAAGAATTTTAATCCCCTCGCCGCAACAGTGGTCAAGCTTCCGAGATAGTGATAAGTGATCTTCACACGAAAGCGGGGATTGATGTAATGTCAGATGAAATGGGAGACGACAGGCACGCGATCAAACTGGACTCGCGTCATTCCGGGACAAGCCGATTGTTCTTAAGGGTTACGAACATTCGTCACCACTCGTCCCTTTCCGTAACCCACAAGAAGAATCCTCCCCCTATACGAAAAACCAATCAGACTGCGCGTATGACTTCAAGTACTTCAGTCAAAGAATCCCTCAAGAATAATTTTAAATGTGCATATGTCTTGCATCTAAAAATATACCCAACATACAGTTAAATGTGTTCAAACATGGTGTATAATACCTTAAGTCAAGATGTGTTTTAAATAACATCTGGAAAATATATACATGGGGAAAATATTCGCGAATCCTTACGCAACGAGTTGACAATTCTTTTAGCTATGCTCGTTTGCGCTTAGACGGAACCCAATTGCAAAAATGACCACGGGAGAGTCGCTATTCAGCTTATCCCGGAATAACAAGAGTTGGTCAGGAATGAGTTACGGAAAGGGGCGAGTGGGGTCCCCTATGCGAAGTTACTACTTATTTCTTTTTCCTTTTTCAGCCAGGAAAACACTGTTTGTGTCATTTGTGTTGTGCCAGGTGTTTATAATGTACATGTTTTGGAAATGGTACGACGTGATGTTGGCGCACCGTCGACTAGGCTCTGTCTCACAAGCGTACGTATTGATCAGGTTCCCGACGCATTAACACAATAGATCCCAATACGCCATCAAACAATACTGTAAACACCTGTTACTTAGTAACTAATTATTCGGAACATTATTCTTGATCGATATATATAATTACATTTAGTGTCGAACCAGTTCGTTATCTACAAAATTCAACATTACCAAACAATGTACGTCAACCCTCCGGTCTGTTGTCTTGTTACGTTCGTGCATTCCTTCAGGAGATAAGTAACATGTTGTTTGTTTGTTTGTTTGTTTGTTTGTCGTTTAACGTCGCACTCAGCAATATTCAAGCTATATGACGGCGGTCTCTAAATAATCAAATCTGAACCAGACAATCGAGTGATTGACATCATGAGCATCGATCCACCCAATTGGGATACAATGACATGCATGAACCAAGTCACAAACCGATCCCGTTCATGGTTTGCTGAAGAATAATTCTAATCTGCATCGTCTCGGGTTTATTATTATGTGGTTTCAGATACCAAAATCAGTTTGAAATAAAATCTAACTGCATACTATACTCAATAATAAACGGATAACAGGGTACTGTTATATTCCGAGTTGTCGTTCCGTAAACATTTAGTTATTCTTTAAATCGCTTACTGTGCATTTACGTTGCTAAAGAAGATCATTTTACTTATGTCTCTTTTTTAGACAATCAAGTGGTAAATGGATAATTACGTCATCCTACACAGGAAATGACGTCATTGGCATCGCTGGATGGACGGTATTGTCTCTTGGTCATACCGACACAAGGATATTCTGCAGGTAATTTGTTCCGTAAAGAAATGTTTCGTGGGTTTTATTTTACACATTTTGGGTACATTCAGGATTGACTGGAAGTGTGTTTGTCACCTTTTAAACTTCCCTATTTCACCATGCATTTTGTTTTTTCTTATAGATTTTTCAGAAAGTTAAGCATCTGTTCACTTCACTCATGCTTGTCGTAAAAGACGACTAACGGGATCGGGTGGTCAGGGTCGCTGACTTGGTTGATGCAGGTCATCGATCCCAATTGCGTGGATCGATGCTCTTGATACCAATCACTGGACTGTCTGGTCCAGACGCGATTATTTACAGACCGCCTTCATATAGCTGGAATATTGCTGAGTGTGGCGTAAAACAACAAACCATCCAACCAACCATTTCACTCTCACTCACTCACTCACTCACTCACTCACTCACTCACTCACTCACTTTTCTTCGAACAGATTTTCTGGTTGCGCCGTTTTGAATTCAACCGAAGAGGAAACAACCACACAATATGAAAATGACAAGTGGCTGTCCAAGAGAATAGGCGCTTATCTTCACGCCATATCTCGCGGGGCAAAGGTGATATGTGTGGCCCGTCATCTAGATGCAGGTACCATGAAGCTGATAAAGAGAATGGCCGACAATATGCCTGAATCGGGAATAATGCTGATGTCAAATAAAACTTTTATTGGCCCGCATGAAGTATTTAACAACGAGATAGGAAAACTAACGAAATTCTATAACGATTTCTACATAGAGAAACATATAAGTGCATTAATTATGTCTTCGTTCAGTCCAACACAGGGGGAGACAACTCAGGAAAAACTGTCGTCAAACTGTGATTCGTATCCCCCAGTGTTTCTCCCGATCAACACGTACACTTACCTAAGTACCCACATCGACGTCTTCCGGTATGATGCATTCTGGGCTCTCCTTTTGAGAGACATCGGAAATGGAGACATGATAATACAACGCTTACTGTGGGAAATCCCAGGTCATATTGGAATATATCCAGCTTGCACGTCAGAACGGACAGGCACGTCTAACAACAAGCGCGATGTGAATGTTCCATCTGCATTGTTGTCATGGAAATGCGTTCATGGTTTGGATATCTTAAAATGTTTGGAAAATGCCATGACTATAATGGCAGGAGAGCTATTAGTCACAATGCGGGATCTCCATATGATCAACAAATGGGTTTCAGAACTGACGTCAATTAAATACCAGACACCACAGAGAGAAGCCCAACCAATACAACCACGGGAGAACCCAACACTCGGGGCCGCCGGTACTGTACCTAAAAGGACATCAGTGAACAGCGAATCCCATGAACAGCTGAAGCTATTGTGTCCCACGTCTGTTAGAAGGTTTCCAAATAAGGTAATAGATGACATAGCCCTGATAATAACATTCAATGTGGGTAAACTGTATTCCAATATCAACATCCTCGAAGCAATGTATCGCCCGTACTTTTCTGTCATAATCTACTGCGGACCAAACTTGACGAAGTTCAAGAAGTATATGAGGGTTCTTGCACTTCCATACTTCATTTTCATAGAGCGCTTCAAAAGAGGTTGGTACTTTATGTATGAATGCACCGTTGAGGCCATGAAGCTTAATGTCGATGTAAAAGGATTCTTACAGATTGGAGATGACACTCTGATTAACCCTTGGAACATTGACACACTGCCACGTGATAAGATCTGGCTGCACACTGGTTTCAATATGGCGAATGCTTCTCTTGAAGAACTAGTGCCGAGGTGGGGGTTTTGGAAATACAAACCAAATATGTTGGCTGTCATAGACGAAATTAGGAACATATCGCAATTGAAGCCAAAAACATCATTTGAATCACAGTTTCTGTTGAATTATCAAAATAATTCACAAAATTTTACATATTTCTTTATTCAGAGTGCTGACTTTATGTATATCCCAATGGCGTTCGAGCATAACTACACAATTATGGCCAATTTGTTGTTAAAATATAACGTTATGGTAGAAATCGGGTTTGTCAATGTAGCTTTTGGGCTTCAAATGTGGGAAAATATACATTTCGTGAAAAAAGGTAACTTATATGGTCTCCGGAGTCAGTATAGATCTTTTTATAGCACTGATAATGTTTACCTCCATCCCTTTAAACTGCAGCGCCACCTGTCCAGGGAGTCTGGCAGACACTTCTTTTGTCAAGTATACCTCAATGACACAGCGAGAATATAGTCAACTTTACCTCGAAAATAACGTCCATTAACTGACGGATGATAATGACTACTGCATCGTATGTCTATATGTATGACTTAAGAGACGACTATGACTTATGAGAAAGGTATTTCTCCCTGTTGGGAAACTAGGGTTGTATATGCACAGGTTGTGTTCACACAATGCGACCTTAGTGTGTCGGTGACTGTTATTTAACACCACAGTTAGCAATATGTCAGGCATATCACGGCGGCCCACGTAAATAGTCGAGACTGGATCTGCCAAACCAGTGGTTGATATTATGAGCAACGCTCCACGTTGTTCGGGTACGATGACACAAATTCAACCAAGTCACCGAACCTGATAAACATAGATACCTTGGACCTATTCTACCCCGGAATCACCGCTGGACATTAACGTATATTTAAGTTATACAATATTTCGGCGTACCCGATTGCGTGAAACGGTGCTCATTGTATCAGACACAGGTTTGACCAGTGCAGTCTGAAAATGAATACTCGATCTATTGTTGCATAGTTTATAAATATTTAAAGATTTTTTTTCACTTATTGGTATTTCCAAATTACATCGTCCTTCATATCCTAAAAGATAACCCCTGGGACGCATAATAATTATTAAGCCGTGAAGTTCCGGTTTAGAACTGGTCTCCGGCAACCCATGCTTGTCGGAATATGCGACTAACGGGATCGGGTGGTCATGCTCGCTGACTTGATAGATGCATGTCATCGTATCTCAGTTGCGTAGATCGATGCTCATGATGTCAATCACTGGATTGACTCGATTATTTACAGACCGCCGTCAAATAGCTGGAATATTGCTGAGTGGGTCGTTAAATAACAAACAAATATAATAATAGTTAATAGTTGTGACCTTATTTGTGTTGTATCTGTATTGAATTCTAATACTAATCAAATGCATTCCGGATTAAAGTTTAAAAGCCGGGATAAACCGAACCAATTCCGTCATGATATTTCTTAAACGTCCAGTGTTTCCTTCATTCAATCGACTGAGTGCGTCCAGATTTGTGCAAGCTCCTTCCCAGCGCGTGACACCTTCGTTACACTCTCGGTAACAGCGCGATGGGGTAGAGAGCTGCGCAAATGGACTATCGCTGTGGGGAGCTTGTGTTAACAAGGGAGATTATTCTGGTTCTGGAAACGGAAGGGAAAATATTTGCCACAGTAGAAAACAAGAACACTAGCTTTGAAGCGAGGAATCAACACGGCGGCAAACTCTTTTATCGTCAAAATAAACTTACAACATTTAAATTTTCCCAAACTGTTTAATCAGCAAATATGTGTTTTCAATAATACGAAAAATATTGGTTTCAATTCATTCCTTGTTTTACATCTGTTTTACTACAATGCGATTACCTCCCTTACATGCTGAATTTTTATAAGCAATGTCTCTTCAAGGTAAATAAACACAGTAGCCTATTCACGACAGAACTCGGTCCAGCTTGTAATTAATAGGCTTGTTGGCATTGTCTCCCAATCACTATTGCGGTAAACTTTCCCACAACTGTCATGCAGTGTCAGGGTGTAAATGAAATAAAACTGGACAACTAACAAAATACTGGGAATGTGAAGAACTAGTAGACCAAATATGGCATGTTACATCAATTGTTTACAATAATCACCCATATTCAATTGCCCACTAGTCCCAAAGACGTTTCAGGAAACTATTACAAATAGACCACCGCGGCAGTGGAATGAATTCAGGCCTGACTTTTTGTCGTAAATCTTTGCGATATAATCTTGCACCAGGGAATTGTGGGTAACATGTGCAACACAGTCGTCGTTCTGTCATCTACCACAATTTATTTTTTTCCGTGTGAGTGATCTATGTGCATTTACATCCGTGCGATATATAAGAATCAAAGTTTTCACCTGACAATTTATTTACATATTAATACAGAGATCAAAATGTGTGAAAAGACTGACAATCAGGAATGATTTAATTCCAAGAAATATAAAAATACAGTGAGGCGAGTTTAAATGGGTTTTCACGTCGCGTTCAATAATATATATATTTCACTTAAATGTAGCACTGTGGATACATGTGTATGTGACTACTGGTCCAGGTTTATGCCAGTTTTTAGTGCTAGCCCACTGAGATGCTATGCTGTAGTTTTTTACATGGATACCAAACTCAGCCACAGTATACTGACACGGGTCCTACTATTTAACGTCCGGGGCCGCCCGGGAACGTCCGGAAACGTCCGGGAGGTTTCATCAGACGTCCGGAAACGTCCGGGAGGTTTCATCAGACGTCCGGGAGTTTAAAAATACAGTGCAGTCAATAAAACATGTCTTTCTCAGTTTGGTAAGATCGTGAGAATGTCCGAGGGCGTCCGGAAACGTCCGGGACGTTTCATCAGACGTCCGGAAACGTCCGGGAGGTTTCATCAGACGTCCGGGAGTTTAAAAATACAGTGCAGTCAATAAGACATGTCTTTCTCAGTTTGGTAAGATCGTGAGAAAAACAACTGGCGTACAAATAAAAAGAACTCACAGCAAATAAAAACAAAAATGAGTACAAGTAACAGGGTAAAAGATATTTAATAGGGCGTAAAGGTTTTGTTCTTTATCCAACAAGGCGGACGTATAAGTAATTACAGACAATGTAAAAAATGTTTGTTTGTTTGTTGTTTAACGCCGCAGTCAGCAATATTCCAGCTATATGACAGCGGTCTGTAAATAATCGAGTCTGGACCAGACAATCCAGTGATTGACATCATGAGCATCGATCCACGCAATTGGGATACGATGACATGCATCAACCAAGTGAGCGAGCCTGACCACCCGATCCTGTTAGTCGCCTCTTACCACAAGCATAGTCGCCTTTTACGGCAAGCATGGGTTGCTGAAGACCAATTCTAACCCGCGTACTTATTTACAATACATAAGATGTTTAATAAATAATAATCAATGTTCATCATATCTATCTGACTTACTTCCTACTTTCCTATAGTACATGAATTATTTTGTTGAAAATACTACTTTCTTAGTGTGTGAACGTCTTTGCTGTTTTAATCCTCTTTCGTTGTTCTGGTTTTCGGGCTGTCTGTGGTGTCTTGGGGATGTTGAAGCGATCATCCGACGAAACAGTAATGCCTTGTTGACATCTGGGGCCACGCAGGAACTTCCGAAAATGTCTGTCTTCTCCTGTTGGCTTTTTGATGTCCAGCAGGCATTAGACAATTTAAAGCCTGCGATCCGCGGTGTCAGTTGGTAGTTGCCTTGGCCGTAGAGGGCACGGCGCATGTCAGCAAACTGCATTTTTACAATTGTGTGAAATCTGTCAGTTAAATCCGGGATTTTCATTTATTTCCAATTGGTACTTAATTTGATGATGTTGTTCATGCTCTCACAGGCATTTTTAATCCAATGTAACGAAACTGCTTATGGTCTTTCTTTTGAAGGCAGGAAAATGTCAGTTTTTATAGTTCTAATGACTTTAGAAAAAGGTAAGAATAGGAATCGGGAACAGTTGTTGAAACAAGGTCTTCTAGTTCCATTTGATTTAGTTTGAACTGATAGGAGTCATTGCTATTCACCAGTCCGGAGGGTCCAAAATGTGTTTTAGTATGACGCAGCCGGGGATCGAACCAAAACATTCCGATGCCACTAGACCACAGGCGGTCGATTCTTACACAAACACAGATACAATAAACACTCAATAGAAAAAAAGGGTACAAACTGATAAACGAATTTGGAATTTTACGCCCGTTTCTTTTTGGGTTAAGGGACACAACTCTGTCACCCTCTGACGACATGTTAAAAGCTATTTACCCACTGACAGGTTCAAACACGAGTGTCGTGTCAAGTGTCAACAGCTCAATGTATCAAGCCTTCTCGTCATGCGCAGACGGTCACTACCGTTGCTAACTTCGTTACACTCTCGGTAACAGCGCGATGGGGTAGAGAGCTGCGCAAATGGACTTTCGCTGTGGGGAGCTTGTGTTAACAAGGGAGATTATTCTGGTTCTGGAAACGGAAGGGAAAATATTTGCGACAGTAGAAAACAAGAACACTAGCTTTGAAGCGAGGAATCAACACGGCGGCAAACTCTTTTATCGTCAAAATAAACTTACAACATTTAAATTTTCCCAAACTGTTTAATCAGCAAATATGTGTTTTCAATAATACGAAAAATATTGGTTTCAATTCATTCCTTGTTTTACATCTGTTTTACTACAATGCGATTACCTCCCTTACATGCTGAATTTTTATAAGCAATGTCTCTTCAAGGTAAATAAACACAGTAGCCTATTCACGACAGAACTCGGTCCAGCTTGTAATTAATAGGCTTGTTGGCATTGTCTCCCAATCACTATTGCGGTAAACTTTCCCACAACTGTCATGCAGTGTCAGGGTGTAAATGAAATAAAACTGGACAACTAACAAAATACTGGGAATGTGAAGAACTAGTAGACCAAATATGGCATGTTACATCAATTGTTTACAATAATCACCCATATTCAATTGCCCACTAGTCCCAAAGACTTTTCAGGAAACTATTACAAATAGACCACCGCGGCAGTGGAATGAATTCAGGCCTGACTTTTTGTCGTAAATCTTTGCGATATAATCTTGCACCAGGGAATTGTGGGTAACATGTGCAACACAGTCGTCGTTCTGTCATCTACCACAATTTAATTTTTTCCGTGTGAGTGATCTATGTGCATTTACATCCGTGCGATATATAAGAATCAAAGTTTTCACCTGACAATTTATTTACATATTAATACAGAGATCAAAATGTGTGAAAAGACTGACAATCAGGAATGATTTAATTCCAAGAAATATAAAAATACAGTGAGGCGAGTTTAAATGGGTTTTCACGTCGCGTTCAATAATATATATATTTCACTTAAATGTAGCACTGTGGATACATGTGTATGTGACTACTGGTCCAGGTTTATGCCAGTTTTTAGTGCTAGCCCACTGAGATGCTATGCTGTAGTTTTTTACATGGATACCAAACTCAGCCACAGTATACTGACACGGGTCCTACTATTTAACGTCCGGGAGGTTTCATCAGACGTCCGGAAACGTCCGGGAGGTTTCATCAGACGTCCGGGAGTTTAAAAATACAGTGCAATCAATAAAACATGTCTTTCTCAGTTTGGAAAGATCGTGAGAATGTCCGAGGGCGTCCGGAAACGTCCGGGACGTTTCATCAGACGTCCGGAAACGTCCGGGAGGTTTCATCAGACGTCCGGGAGTTTAAAAATACAGTGCAGTCAATAAGACATGTCTTTCTCAGTTTGGTAAGATCGTGAGAAAAACAACTGGCGTACAAATAAAAAGAACTCAAAGCAAATAAAAACAAAAATGAGTACAAGTAACAGGGTAAAAGATATTTAATAGGGCGTAAAGGTTTTGTTCTTTATCCAACAAGGCGGGCGTATAAGTAATTACAGACAATGTAAAAAATGTTTGTTTGTTTGTTGTTTAACGCCGCAGTCAGCAATATTCCAGCTATATGACAGCGGTCTGTAAATAATCGAGTCTGGACCAGACAATCCAGTGATTGACATCATGAGCATCGATCCACGCAATTGGGATACGATGACATGCATCAACCAAGTCAGCGAGCCTGACCACCCGATCCTGTTAGTCGCCTCTTACCACAAGCATAGTCGCCTCTTACGGCAAGCATGGGTTGCTGAAGACCAATTCTAACCCGCGTACTTATTTACAATACATAAGATGTTTAATAAATAATAATCAATGTTCATCATATCTATCTGACTTACTTCCTACTTTCCTATAGTACATGAATTATTTTGTTGAAAATACTACTTTCTTAGTGTGTGAACGTCTTTGCTTTTTTAATCCTCTTTCGTTGTTCTGGTTTTCGGGCTGTCTGTGGTGTCTTGGGGATGTGGAGGCGATCATCCGACGAAACAGTAATGCCTTGTTGACATCTGGGGCCACGCAGGATCATCCGACGAAACAGTAATGCCTTGTTGACATCTGGGGCCACGCAGGAACTTCCGAAAATGTCTGTCTTTCTCCTGTTGGCTTTTTGATGTCCAGCAGGCATTAGACAATTTAAAGCCTGCGATCCACGGTGTCAGTTGGTAGTTGCCTTGGCCGTAGAGGGCACGGCGCATGTCAGCAAACTGCATTTTTACAATTGTGTGAAATCTGTCAGTTAAATCCGGGATTTTCATTTATTTCCAATTGGTACTTAATTTGATGATGTTGTTCATGCTCTCACAGGCATTTTTAATCCAATGTAACGAAACTACTTTTGGTCTTTCTTTTGAAGGCAGGAAAATGTCAGTTTTTATAGTTCTAATGACTTTAGAAAAAGGTAAGAATAGGAATCGGGAACAGTTGTTGAAACAAGGTCTTCTAGTTCCATTTGATTTAGTTCGAACTGATAGGAGTCATTGCTATTCACCAGTCCGGAGGGTCCAAAATGTGTTTTAGTATGACGCAGCCGGGGATCGAACCAAGGCATTCCGATGCCACTAGACCACAGGCGGTCGATTCTTACACAAACACAGATACAATAAACACTCAATAGAAAAAAAGGGTACAAACTGATAAACGAATTTGGAATTTTACGCCCGTTTCTTTTTGGGTTAAGGGACACAACTCTGTCACCCTCTGACGACATGTTAAAAGCTATTTACCCACTGACAGGTTCAAACACGAGTGTCGTGTCAAGTGTCAACAGCTCAATGTAAACAAGCCTTCTCGTCATGCGCAGACGGTCACTACCGTTGCTAACTCCTTGAGCCAAACACTGGCAGTTGTGACAGCCACGAGGGACAGACGAGGTTAGTCTTTAGTCTTTGTTTGGGGGAGAACCGCTACACTTTCATACGACACGGAATTGTTGTTTAAGTACCGAGAAAAGAATGACACATTTGATTTAAACTGCCATCTCAAGAGTTTCCGAGTAACTTAGTGAGCTATAGAGCGTTAGAGCTTATCTCAACTTTTTATCGTCAATATTTGTGTATTTATAGCGAATCAGAATCACGCGTTCCAACTGTTTATTTATTTTTTATTTTTGTCACACGACAGTTCGCGCAGATACAAGATATCGGCATATGGTCTCTTGTTGATGGCACACATGAAATGTCATTCCGTTGATAGGAGATTTTTCGGTCAGCTTCACAACATTTAAAAAAAACCGTTAATATTTTAATTTGATGTATTTCATTGTACGACGTTGACTAAGAATAATGACCTTTTGAATGGAAGCATTCCTGGACGCTGGATTGAATAGTCGAAATAACAAGGTAATTTAAGAGTGTTGTTTTTAAAACTAGAGAGAATAGGATATCAAAAGTTCGTATATTTCGAGTGCTTTTTCATTGCTTGTTTGAAATGCATCTACATGCCGACCTTAAGCTGGTGCCTAAATATATATAACTTACAGTTTGAATACTGCTGATTACGGCGAAAATGCATTCCGAAACTCACTGTTATTCAAATATCTCAATGAAAATAGGCAACACTGAAAAGATTTGATTATATATATCTTTCTTTATAAAATTAAAACGCAGCCCAATATGCATGAGGTCGAAGCAGCTACGTGCGTTGTGTTATCTTAACTCAATCAGTATAATCTAATTCGCCCGCTCGCTCAATATTGTGAATTGTCGCCCGCGGTGGATCTTATTACATTGATAACAATATCGACAGTGTTTATATTTGATATAGTTTCATGTCGATAAATCCATATTCCCTGTTGACCTTGAACCACGGGGTAAGCTGTTATAGTACTACATCCTCAATCAATCGGACACAAAGAGCGAGTGAGTGAGTATGGTTTTACGCCGCGTTTAGCAATATTCCAGCAATATCACGGCGGGGGACACCAGAAATGGGCTTCACACATTGTACCCATGTCGGGAATCGAACCCGGGTTTTCGGCGTGCGAACGCTTTAACCACTAGGCTACCCCACCGCCCCCGGACACAAAGACATTGATTGTACCTGATAGTGTGTGTGTGTGTGTGTGTGTGTGTGTGTGTGTGTGTGTGTGTGTGTGTGTGTGTGTGTGTGTGTGTGTGTGTGTGTTCGTGTGTGTGTGCGTTCGTATGTGCTTGCGTGTGTATATGTGTGTGTTTGTGTGTAGAGGGGTCGGCGGGGTCTGCTTGTATCAGTCCGGACTAGTGTCGGTTTTATAGAGCTAGCCCACTGAGATACCAGTTTAACATGAATACCCCACTCAGACATAATATTACTCCGAATCAATCAGTCCTTGTGTTATCCCTTATTGCCGAGCAGGCAGGGTAACAACAAGTACCATCGTTCAACGTCATTTCGGAATGACGCGGCCGGGAATCGAACCCCCAAACCGTCCACCCTCCTGGCATACGCTGTCCTCTAGACCGCGAGGAGGTCCAACTAGACATGTGAGTGCGTGAGAGAGAGAGTGAGTATTTCAGTTACATCTCGGCGCCTTTAATGCCAAATTACTGTTGGAGGAAAGGATGATGCAGAAGGTAGATTTTTACCACTTTAGGGAAACCAACGTGTATGGTGCAGGTCATTATCAGGGCGAATCGTGGATTCGAACCCACATATATAATCGGATACTGTCAAGCCTAAGGGACGCAACCATGCAACCCTGCATCTTAGCCGACTTGGTGAACCATGCCTCCCTATAATATACTAGTACTAGTATACGACTGACCCTAAAATTAAGGTTGTATGAAGTGCTAAGGACACGGGAGGACACGTGATCTAAGGTGCCGCAACTCCAGCAAAACTTTATTGATAAACTAAATCAGGATCCGCTGACTGCGGGTTCGAACCCCATTATAACTATGTTATAAACGTTTACAACATGCTTCTCTCCCTAAGGCCATCCATTGATTTTCTGTGTTTCACATCTTCAACTTCAAACAGAAAGAAGCGAATGTTTCATAAATATAGCTGAAGAAAGATCAAGCTGGTCTGCCTTTGTAGTGCAATTTTAGGGGTATTGTTTGTAACACATCGGGGAAAAAATATTCACATCTTCACGAGGCTAGAGAGATAACTGACTTTAAAAGTCCAGTTTCCACCCTTGCTGAACTAGGCTGGAATTCTTGGGCTCGATCGTCGCGCCAAATCTTGCAAACGACCGAAATCTGCATGACAGTTTACGAACCGGATTTCGTTTTCGTTGCGCGATTTTGATTGGACAATGCATAGACTCGTTAATCCAGCCAAAATGTAACTCCATAATACCAGCCTAGTTCAGCAAGGGTGGAAACTGGACTTGTCAGTCAACTCCCTTGCCTCGTGAAGATGAAATATTCACAGCGGCGGGGAAAATTGAGATAATAAAAAGAATGTTTTACTTCATGTCAGAATTAATACCGACAGCCCAATACACTAAACAAATCAACACAGTTGAATTATGCTCAAAGTGACGTCACACCCAACCTCGCTTTTATGAACAAGAGACCGTGTTTAACAAATCAGTCAGTTACAGAAAATCCAACATTGAAAAATTATAGTAGCACGATTGAGTGAGGTGAGCGAGGCGAGTGAGTGAGTGAGCATTTTTGTTTGTTTGTTGTTTAACGTCGCACTTAGCAATATTCCACCTAGATGACGGCGGTCTGTAAATAATCGAATCTGGACCAGACAATCCAGACATTGATATCATGAGCATTGATCCACCCAACTGGGATACGAAGGCATTCATCAGCTAAGTCTGACTACCCGATCCCGTGAGTCGCCTTTTACGACAAGCATAGTCGTCTTTTACGACAAGCATAGTCGCCTTTTACGGCAAGCATGGTTCGGAGAAGACCTATTCTATCCCGGATCTTCACGGGTCTAGTGAGTTTGGTAAAGCGCGGCTTTGAACAGTATTTCACGGCGTGTTAGCTTACTGTGGAAGGAAAGACCTACGTGATGCAGGTCTTAGGCGTTTACCACTTTGGTCAAACCCTCGAGCACGGCTCCGTAGCTACTGACAAACCTAGAAACATAACCAGGACGAATCCAAGATTCGAATCCGCGACCATAGGTTCTGACACGCTTAAGGGGGGCTACACCACACAGCGAATTACGACATATAGACGACTGGGTTACCCGCCCCGAAATCCTGTACAACAGATCTGAACACCAGGTAGATGTCAGACACCGCAATATGTGTTAATATCAGTATTGACTGTTATAGTGACACGTTGGTATAGCTGTCAATCTCGACACACAGCGTGTTTTACAGCAACAATTCCTATAGCTCCTTTATCAGCTGACGGCACAAGTTGATTTCAATCAACGGTTTTCAATTGCGGATCGAGTGCTGTTTCAAGGACGACACAAAAGGGGCGCTCAGACAGGGATTATCCCGGTGTATAGATTGTCCCGTGCGACAGACGGGTCGTGAATATTGATTACAGTCCGTATATAACAGCTAACGTGTATTGACGAGGTGCTAAGTGTAATGTATATTACCAGTTGACTCTATTATTTCAACCACATGGTGAGGAGGCACATTAACTCTAAACAAATCATCATTCAGATTGCTACATCTATGTCGAAGTCTTGTATGTAATATTTTATTTACATGTTTTCCATAACTGAAATATTTGGATACATTCTTGTATTTAATTCAATTATAAAAACAGTATTTTTATTTTGTGATTTCCATTTGTTATAATTGACTTTTAAAAACGTGGTTGTTTTTGGCAAAAGGAAAAGTAATATTTTGTATGTTATGTAAACAGGTTACATATTTTGAAGTAACAAATGATTTAGGTATGATGGAGACTTATTCTTTATTTTTTTATGTTCAAAGTTTTTAATTTTTTCACAATACCAATTCTGAACCTGTTAACACGTTTTTGCACAAAACACTTTAACATTCAGCAAAAAAACAAAACACTTGGATTCGATACCATACTCACGAAGTAAATAATGCAAGGGTATAAGGATCACGTCACCAAATTCTTGTCAAGCTATCATCTCTTTGTACATCAGTGAACTATGTTAACTGTGTTAAATGCAACAGAACAAAAAATATAATCCCGGCATTATCAATTTCATTCAGAACCGACCGATTAGTTTCGTTTTCGAGATACAGGTCTCATATGTGCTGGTTTGAAAGCTTCGCTCAATCTTACCGACAATTTTAAGGCCTCGACGCCTTTTAGCTGATTAGAAAGTTCAGCTGACGCGACCTTCTATGTAGGTGTCCTGAAATCTTCACAGAGAGAGGTATCCAATCGGAGTAAAAAGATCTGATTTTAATTAGACTGACGACGGTCTTGGCCTGACATACCAGGGTTTGATAGCATGTGCAACGATGCGTACCGACGGTGCGATATAATCAAGTCAAAACTAATTAAGGGGAATTTGGTTTTAAAAATGCCGTAATCTGATTTGAATAATGTTCAACACTAGCATCCCACTATGAAAAGCATTTATACACTAAGGAATAAAAGTGTGTACATTTGTATAATTCGTGTTTTGCATTCTCCAGATAAATGATGGCGCAGCCACTTATCATCACGGTATTTGGAGCAACCGGATCGCAAGGTGGCGCTGTTGCACGTACCCTTGCACGTGATCCCAACATCCGGGTACGAGCGGTGACCAGTACACTTGACTCGAACAGGCCTCAACAATTAGTTCAGAATGAGGGAGTTGACATTCGCCAGTGTAATTTGGATGATGTTTACAGCATCAAAATGGCACTGGACGGCACCGACGCATGTTTCCTTGTCACATACACCGACTTTAAAGACCCATCGTGCAAAGAAAATGAAATTCGTCAAGGTCGTCTTATAGCAGACGCATGCGCAATGGCTGGTGTGAAACATGTAGTTTTCAGTACACAGTTGCACGCGAAACGCATGCTGGGAATTGAAGTGCGTCACCTCGACGCCAAGGCGGAGATCGAGGATTACTTATATGAGAAGAAACTCCCCCTAACTTGTATCATGGTGCCGTGCTATTATGAAGAGTTCATGGGCCTTTTCAGACCAGATCAGGTTGACCAACACGAATACAGATTATGTAAGTTTAAAAAAATAGGATTTTAAAATATAAAATAATGATATATATATATATATATATATATATATATATATATATATATATATATATATCATTTATTAATGTGAGATTCGATCTTTAGATAACTGTGATACCCTAAAATGTAGTTTATGATATAACACTAATAACTACACAGCCTGCTTATTTAATGATAAGCACAAACAGAACTCTGGCCAGTTCGAAGTCAGTGACATCGTTCGGCTCAATAATGCAGCGGAAGCCCCGCCCTTTCTGTTATCATCCAACCAGGTGGAGCAGTCCGTTAGTGGGCGTGGCCTGATATTGTTTTCGGTTTATGGAATATTTCTTAGTCAGCCAATTGCAATTTATTCATTTATTGACATCTACAAATACATTCGTTTTATTCGTATCTAAAAATGAATTTGTGATATCGATACATGAATTATTGATTTAATAGATTAGGGAATAAAAATTCAAATGGCGGCTCAATAAATATTTACTGAATGATTCCCAGATAATTTCCATCTTCCCGAGGCAAGGGAGTTAACTGACTGTAAAAGGCCAGTTGCCACCCTTGCCCAACTGGGCTGGAATTTCTGGGATCGATCGTAGCGCCGCCAGTGGCTATTACGAGTTATGTCCCTTCTATGTCCCGCCTACTGACCAATCAAATTCAACCTGTCATATTATTTGCATTTGCTTCATACAAAATGGCGGCTCCCAGTCAAGACGATCTGATCGACAATCAAAATCGTTTTTGTAATATTAAGGGTCTTATTTCGCGAAGTGCATCCAATCACGTGGGCATCTTGATTAAATACATGAAAAGATTTGCAAAATACCTGTCGACGCCGAGGTTGCCGTACACATGCTTTGCAAAATATAACTCCATAATTCCAATCTAGTAGTGCAAGGGTGCATCAGGACTTTTATAGTCAGTTAACTCAATTGTCTCGGGAAGATGAGTGTTCTCCGTTTTGACTGTGGACATAATTGACATCCGTTTCTATTGCCTGTCATACTATCACACTAAAAGGTCTTGAATGTTTTCTTCAGTCAAATGACAGGTGGTTGTGGAAAAACACGTATACCCCTCAGAGATTCCGCAGCAGGATATTTGCCAAGCAGCCCATGCTAGTCGTATAGCCGACTGATGGGGAGCGCAGTGTGTGGCCTCGATACCGGGATGGCTGTGTGTCATCAATAAACCGTTGCTCATGCTGTCAACCACTGGTTTGTCTGGTCAAGACACGGTTGTTTGCAGGTTGTTTGCCCTAATACAGCTGTTCCAGGAATATTGCTGACGGTGGCGTTAAACAACATTCATTCACTCACCAGGTCCACGGTTGTGAAAATAGATTGTGTTTGTTTGTTGTTTAACGCCGCACTCAGCAATATTCCAGCTATATGACAGCGGTCTGTAAATAATCGAATCTGGACCAGACAATCCAGGGACTGACATCATGAGCATCGATCCACGCGATAGGGATAAGATGACATGCATCAACCAAGTCAGGGAGCCTGACCACCTAATCCCGTTAGTCGCCACTTACGACAAGCACAGTCGCCGTTCACGGCAAGCATGGGTTGCTGAAGACCTCTTCTAACCCGGTTCTTCACGGGTGTGGAAATACAAGCTGTCGCTATCTTATACTATTGTTATAGTGCAAACCATTTCAATTTTTAATTAAACCTTCAGCACACATTGAACAAGATACTGCAACTTGAATTATCACCGATGAGTGAACATCTTTTTAACGATCTGCAAGTACCATGAATCCATAGGTTCCTCCAAATTGGTAACAGTTAGAAGGTTCTTTCTTTGGCCTGACCGCCTCCGTGGTCTAGTGGTAGAGCGTCCGCCCGGAGGGCGGAAGGTCCGGGTTTTGATCACCGGCCGCGTCATACCAAAAGACGTTTAAAGATGGTACTTGTTGTTATCCTGTCTGGCGCTCGGCATTAAGGGGCTAAAAGAAGGACTGGTCGGCTCGGAGTCAGTATACTGTGTCTGAGTGGGGTATTCATGTTAAACTGCGGCATGGTATCTCAGTGGGCTAGCACTATAAATCGGCATCAGTCCGGACTAGTACAAGCAGACACACGTGCATGCACGTCGCTATATAAGTGCAATAATCTTGGACGCGACGTTAAACCCAATTTCACGTCACCTCACCTTTCTTTGACCTCGCCCGCTTCTTAGGAAATCTGACATGTCTGTTTACAGCATTGCCCATAGGCCAGGCCCCGCTAGACATGATCTGCATCGACAACATCGGGGACGTCGTGCGGAAGATCTTCCTCTGCCGCGACATGTACCTCAACAAGACGGTCAGCGTGTGCGGCGACAAGCTCACGATCAGAGAGATTGCCCAGATCCTCACCACACACCTCAAACCCAAAACGTTTAAAGAGAAACAGGTAACCATGACAGTGTTTCATGTAACGACAGTCTTGCAATTGCAGTGAGTGGGTGAGTGAGTATAGCAATATTCCAGCAATATCACGACTGGGGACATTAGAAATGGGCTTCGCACATGGTTGAATCAAGCATTTCAAAAAGGGAGGGGGCCAAAATATCAAAATCCATACTACATTTGGTTTTGAAATTGGGTTGGTATTCATGTTGGTATTTATTCATTATCTCCCAACCCAGTAATCTACGGTACTAAAGGTCTATGGTACTAAAGGTCCCCAGTCACTCATGCTTGATCCGGGGTAGAATAGATCTTCAGCAACCTATGCTTGCCGTAAATAGCGAGTATGCTTTGAGGCGAATAACGGGATCGGGTGGTCAGGCTCGCTATTTTTGATGCATTAAACGTTGCAGCACTTGGTCAAAAGTTGTTTGATCAGGGTTACAACTCTCAAGACCTCAGTGTAGGGAACTTCCAAATTTGACGCATCAGTGACAAAGATTATATTCGATTTAGTTCCGTTTTTTCTATACTTCTGCTATATGTAACGTTGTTTTTCAATTGACTTGCATTTGCAAGTGTTTGAGGCGGATGCCACTGGTGGGGCAGAATACGCTCACCTTTTCGCAAACACCTGGTATCATTACTATTTGATAGTGATTCTTTAACACATGTTATGACATTGTACGGTGAACTTGAAGTATGAATTTTGTCATCTTCCCGAGGCAAGGGAGTTAACTGACAATAAAAGTCCAGTTTTCACCCTTGCCTCAAGAAGATGAAATTATGTATAATAGAAATGTTTCTGTCGCTTTTATTTGACCACCTTATTCCCTGTGTTTCAGATTAGCGTGAACGACTACAAGATGCTTGACTTCCCTGGTGTCCGCGACTGGGCCAACATGTTCTACTTTTTCTGCCGAGTTGACCAGAGATACAACGTGGCGTCCACCAGGCAGATGAACCCTAACCTGCTCTCGTTCGAGGACTGGGTCCGGCAAAACGTGGACGTCCTCCACAAGGCGCTGTGACTGAGGTGGTGATAGGGTGTTCCAGGTCGTCAAGACTTCACGGGCTTGTGTACAATAAGTTCCGACACCCGTGGATACATAGCGGCGTCTTGCTATGTAGTCTTACCAAGGACTCATGCAAAGGATTGGTTCCAATGAGAGGATGACGTGGGCGGGATGTATGATGACGTATGAATGACGTGTCGTAGCCTTGTGGCTTCTATTGTTGGTCAGAGCATATATGGCCCTGCGTTAATTAGAGGTCCGCGAAAATTGGATTCTAATAAAGGAAATACGGTATATACAGCCTCATTTATTCATGGGCGGAACGAAGTATGTACAATCCCGTGAAGTGTTGACGAAGTGCATGACGGATAACCAAGGATCGTCCAACTTTTAACATGAAGATCATTGAAGTACCAATTATTTTGTGCAACTTAAGGATTGTGTTAAGGATTGCACGGTCATCCGCTGAGAGGCAAGATATCAGTAATATGGGAGTCTCACTATTGAAAGAGATAGAAGCTTGGTATATCTTATAAATTGGATGGATATAACTGAAGGTGTTTGTGAGGGGGTGGGGGGTGATTTGGGGGGGGGGGGGGGGGGGCGGCGATTAACTTCCACCTTTGCTTTGAGAACCCAGACATCAGTTACATTGGGTTCTGACCATGGAAAGTTAACTGTCAGATGTGTGAATGGCGAGCGTTAATATACACATCTGAGACATAGATTTGGGTGGATGATTATATAAAATACATCATCAAATTACAGGAATGCTTCAAATCAAAACTAAATTACAGTTGAACCTGACAATCATCCCATCAATCATCCGACATCCAACCAAGTCTGTAGCGTGTGTGGTATTATTGTCGAAACAACAGATTCCATTAATTGCGGCAGGATGTTTTGTGTTTATTGCGCAGGTTCCTGCAGAATGGAAATATACCTGAGATTTGATCACAGCTGTTACTTTTATTATTTGAACGAATGGCGGGGTCCATCTTCATGTATGTACAGAGAGCCATTCTGCCCTCGCGTTGACATGAAGTACAAAGGCCAAATTGTGCACATGTACTTTTAGTTTTCACATTCATAATTATATATTGTCACCGGCCAGTATTACAGCTTTTTTTTAAAAAATTTAATGTATTTATGCGAATAAAATGTTTATGCTTTTCGTTTCATTGTTCATGTGATTACACGGGGAACAACACAACATGATTATAAACTTTCAAATCGTTGGTTATCACTGGGTTTAAGGGTAAGTCGGAATTCAAAGGCCAAAATTGCCTCTCCTTGACCCTAGGGAATATATTAAACTCCAACTCAAGTCTAGAATGCCCCAGCTCTAGGGTCCGTGAAATTAACCACTGTTCTGGGCTCCAGCTGGATCTTTTTTAGTTTGTACTTTGTAGACATATATTTTAAAATAGTATAACTTTCTTTCTGGGAGTAAATGTCGGTCTGAGGTCAAAACGAGTGGGATCAATAATCAACATACGGAGCTATACCTCAGATGGATGTTCAGGCGCCTTATTTAATTACTACAGCAAAGCTGCTAATACATTGAGCCCACCTGATCCCTGCACTCATTGAGCCCACCTGATCCCTGCACTCATTGAGCCCACCTGATCCTCTCAGTCATTGAGCCCACCTGATCCTCTCAGTCATTAAGAACACCTGATCCTCTCAGTCATTGAGCCCACCTGACCCTCTCAGTCATTGAGCCCACCTGATCCTCTCAGTCATTGAGAACACCTGATCCGCTCAATCATTGAGCCCATCTGATCCTCTCAGTCATTGGGCCCACCTGATCCTCTCAGTCATTGAGCCCACCTGATCCTCTCAGTCATTGAGCCCACCTGATCCTCTCAGTCATTGAGCCCACCTGATCCCTGCACTCATTAAGAACACCTGATCCTCTCAGTCATTGAGCCCATCTGATCCTCTCAGTCATTGAGCCCACCTAATCCCTGCACTCATTAAGAACACCTGATCCTCTCAGTCATTAAGCCCACCTAATCCCTGCACTCATTAAGAACACCTGATCCTCTCAGTCATTGAGAACACCTGATCCTCTCAGTCATTGAGCCCACCTGATCCCTGCACTAATTGAGCCCACCTGATCCTCTCAGTCATTGAGCCCACCTGATCCTCTCAGTCATTGAGCCCACCTGATCCTCTCAGTCATTAAGAACACCTGATTCTCTCAGTCATTAAAACACCTGATCCTCTCAGTCATTGAGCCCACCTGATCCTCTCAGTCATTGAGCCCACCTGATCCCTGCACTCATTGAGCCCACCTGATCCTCTCAGTCATTGAGCCCACCTAATCCTCTCAGTCATTGAGAACACCTGATCCGCTCAATCATTGAGCCCATCTGATCCCTTGACTTATTTTTATACATGTTTAGATTTAATCATATGCCTTTAGTTTGGTCTCGACACCCCCGTCTGAGAAACGCTCTTCGAGCCTGCCTTGTAGGTGTACCTCAAGCAAATATACTCAAAGGCAACAGGTGGATTATTTTCACTTCAAAACCTCCAAATTAAATTTTGGCTTTTGCTCATGAAAAATCTCGGAGACAAACAAACCAAATTGTCGCTGGTATTGCATTGGGGTTTTTTTCATGGAATAACTGCAGTAGAAATTGCTGCAGGTGTTATCTATAAAATGTCCGATATCTAATTCCATGCCAATGCCACTCGGTCAGATCCGATGGCGAGATCCTTGTCTACAATTTGTTTGTTTGTTATTTAACGCCGCACTCAGCAATATTCCAGCTATATTCACGGCGGTCTGTAAATAATGGAGTCTGGACCAGACAAGCCAGTGATTGACGACATGAGCATCGATTTATGCAATTGGGATACGATGACATGCCAAGTCAGGGGGCCTGACCACACGATCCCGTAAGTCGCTTCGGCTTCACGGGTCCCCTTGTCTACAAGCGTTGGCGTGAACATTACGTTACGCCATGTGTTCTTGAAGGGGACGCTTTTGGGATAGTGGTGGTATGATATGGGCTGGAATAACGGCTACAGGAAGGACTCAAATGATTGTGATTGATGGAAATTTGAATGCTGTGAGATATCAAGATGAGATTTTACAAACGGCAATTTTACCTTTTTTTAACAGAACGGCCCTAGAGTGACACCCTAACACAATAACGCCAGATCACCTTGCTAGAGTTGAGCATCAGTATCTGATTTACATACATATCATATACAACAATCTGACATGACTGGGATGAAATGAAACGTCTGCAACATGTTCCAAATACTATACTCAGTAACTATTGTAAAAGTATTACTCGGAGTATATGTGGTTTTATCTGCTTTAAGTTTTATACCACGAGCCATGTGTGGAACTGAGCGGTATAAATCATAAAGTGATGCATAAAACCACATATACCCCATCTTCCCGAGGCAAGAGAGTTATCTGACTATAAAAGTCCAGCTTCCACCAAGGGTGGAAACTGCACTTTTAAAGTCAGTTAACGCTCTTGCCTCGGGAAGATACATATACCCCGAGTGATACTTCAACAACGAATTTATCTTTTCGACATGTTACAATCTGCCATTGTAAAAGAATTTAATCAAATTGAAAATTGATTAAATGAAACAAAAACAAAAACAGGTGTTCGACTGTTCAGCTTTTTTCTTAGAAGCGGGGTATAAGGGATTTATTGTCCCGCTCAGAAATCCAAGCGCAGCCCATATTCTTGGTGTGGTATAAGAGATTTATTCTCCTGCTCACAAATCAGCGTGCAGCCTGCTTTCTTCGTGGCGGGTATGGGATTTATTCTGCAGATAAGAAATCCACGTGCAGCCTGTTTTCTTTGTGCGAGTATTAGTTATTCCTCTCAGAAATCCTCATGCAGCCTGTATTCTTTGTGGCGTGGTATATTAAAGAGATTTATTCTCCCGCTCAGAAATCCACGGTCAGCCTGTTTTCTCCATGGCGGGGAACCAAGCATTTATTCTACTGCTCAGAAATGTACTTCCCTCCAATGCGGATACATGGTTTTCGCAGGAACACTCTTCATTTGGACAGTTGTTCCATACTGTGCTTTAAGTCAGTGTTCTTTCCATGGGATATGAAAATATATAATTCCTTCCAAGATAGTAAATTATTTGGACCGATACTCCTTGTTATCTTTGTTTGTTGTTTAACCTGGACCAAACAAGAAATCTGATTGACATCATGAGCATCAATCTACGCAGTTGGGATAAGATGACATGCATCAACCAAGTCGGTGAACCTGACCACCTGATCCATCAGTCGCCTCTTACGACAAGCATAGTCGTTTTTTACAGCTTTGGAGTTTATGTGTAATCATAACAATTTTACTGTTCATAATGTTCATGTGTGTTTGTTTGTTGCTTAACGCTGCACACAGTAATATTCCAACTATATGACTCTGGACCAGACAATCCAGTGATCGATATTGTGAACAAGGATCCAGGGTTGGGTACAATGACATGGCATCATCCAAGTCAAGGAGTCTCAGCATCCGATCTATTTGGTCGCCTCTTACAACCAGCATAGGTTGCTAGGGAATCCCAACATGGTGCCATGTTTTTTGTTTCAACCAATTTGTAAAGATAATTCAGAGTCAATGTGTTGAAGAATGATATCATTTGACCTTCCTCCTCACTTATAACAGAAGCATGGCAGTGGGGTAGCCTAGTGGTTGCAGCGTTCACTCCTCATGCCGATTACCCAGGTTTGATTCCCCACATGGGCAGTGGTGTCCCCTGCCATGATATTGCTGGAATATTGCTAAAAGCGGAATAAAACCATACTCACTCACTCACTCAAACAGATGCACAGAAACATGATGAAAAAATAAATATTTTATTGCCTGAAATATCCAGTCAATATCAGATCTGGTTCCAATTACCTGTTGTCCACACAAACCCATCTTCCCGAGGCAAACTGTTCCCGAGTTAACTGACTATAAGTCCAGTTTCAACCCTTGCCGCACTGGGATGGAATTTCTGTACTCGACCATAGCGCCACCAATGGCTATTACGAGTTTTGCCCCCTCTCAATCTCATTAAAATCAGATCTTAGTACAAAGCTTTGTTTAGCGGTAGCGAGAACTAAGATCTGATTTTAATGAGATCGGCCCCCTCTCTTCCCCTCCTATTGACCAATTAGATTCAACCTCTCATGTCACTAGCATTTGCTTCAAAACAAAATAGTGGCGAGGTCAGTCGTGACGATCTGATCAATGATCAAAATATAGATTGTAATAAAATGGGTCTTACTTAACGAAGTGCATCAAATTACGTGAGCACATTGATAAAAAACATGAAAAGATTTGGAAAATATCTGTGGACGCCAAGTTTAAATCCATGTTGTTTACGAACCGGATGTCGATTTCATTACGCAATTTTGATTGGACTATGCAGTCCAGTCCAGTTGCAAGGGAGTTAACTCTTAAGTCTATGCATAGTCCAATCACAATCGCGCATCGAAATTGAAATCTGGTTTGTAAACTGTCATGCAGATTTCGATCGATTGCAGGATTTGCAAAGCATGTGCACTGCCAACTCGTTGTCAACAGATATTTTCCAAATCTTTTCATGTTTTTAATCAAGGTGCTCACGTGAGTTGATGCACTTGGCGATGTAAGACGCGTTTTATCACACTATAGATCTTGATTATCGATCAGATCGTCTTGACCGGGCGCCGCCATTTTGTTTGAAGCAAATGCAAGTGATATGAGAGGTTGAATCCGATTGGTCAATAGGAGAGGCATAGAAAGGACATAACCCATAATAGCCACTGGTGGCGCTACGACTGAACCCAGGAATTCCAGCCGAGGCCCCACAAAGCGATATTAGCGCTAAGATGATCGTAACTCCCATACTTTAACATAGGCTTACGATGATCGTAGCGCTAAGATCGCCTTGTTGAACCAGGCCCTGGACTTTTAAAGTCAGTTAACTCTCTTGCCTCAGGAAGATGGACAGGAACAGACATCCATAATTCAGTACTAATAAATAACACCTGCCAAATTTATTAAATTGGCAGCAACAATCACACACTGACCACTATTCAACCTTTCTCTCACTCGCATGTCTATATAACAACACTGTCATCGTGTTATGATGGATCAGGTTTAATCACAGCTTCATCCCATGGACCGTAGATGTTACTGAAAAAAAGAAATACATTCATTTCCATGTTCAAAAGAAATAGGATTTTATAGTGTCAGAAACATTTGTCTCTCAAAAGTTTATTATGGTTCAATTAAAAAGCTAGAATTAATGCATACTCACTTTTTATAAAGCTGTAGTCTGGTGAGCCAGTAGGGGCAGATGAATGTGATGAACAGATGGAACACAGCGAACAACACAGCGCCTGCTGTTGTGACGGACAACAGCAGCATCAGTGCCCCGCCCCCCAGGAGGACAGTCAGTGGAACCTGGCTGCTGGGTGCATGAGTCTGGAAAAATTATATGGAACTTGTTATTTTCTCATTCATGCCATAAACATAAAGCATGTTTTCTTTAATTCAAACTAAAACTTAAACACAATTTGTTTTAGTAAGAAATGCTTAAAAATTGTTTGATTTTGTTTGTTAGTTTGATTGTTGTTTAACGCCGCACTCAGAAATATTCCAGCTATATGACGGCGGTCTGTAAATGATCCAGTCTGGACCAGACAATCCAGTGATTGACATCATGAGCATCGATCCACACAATTGGGATACGATGACATGCATCAACCAAGTCAGCGAGTCTGACCACCCGATCCTGTTAGTCGCCTCTTCGACAAGCATGACACCTTAAAATTGTTTGAAGACAATTCAGCCACTATAGTGGAGACAACTTTAAACAAATATGTGGGAGACTTGGAGGCCACTTGAATTATCTTGTGTGTTTGCAAACTGCTGTCCTCCAAAAGAAAACAAAATAGCGCCACAAGGCTGTGACGCGCAGCTCTTTTGAAGTAATAACTTGATGACACTTTTACTTTATTTTGGTACAAATATTTATAGTCAGTTAAAGGAAGATTGGTGCAAAAGATTCTTGGGAAATGAAAAAAAATGACATCACTGAATGCAAATAGTGACACCATGAATAAACCTGGATATTCTACGGTCATCACATGCACAAAAAGTTTAAGCCTGTTAAAAAATCCCGAATAGCAAAAGGCAACAGTTCAATGCATGCATGAAATGTATATAACGTTTCATGAAGATATATTAAATGGTTTCTGAGTTATGCTCTGGAAACAAAACATGACGGACGGACAGATGGAACCCGTTTCGATATCTGCCGCAAAACACTTTTTTGGTGGAGGATAATCTGCAAACTAGAACGGGGAATGGCCATCAAACACATACCTTCAGTTTCCGCCTCAGGACAGGCCACAGAGCGAACAGCTCAAAGGAAAACACAATGGTTGTGAAGGCATGCCAGGTGGTGTTCAGGCGGGACGCCAGGCACACGGACGCGAACGTTGCCGCGCTTAGAGACAGGGTGCCAGACACACTGGAACATCAACAGAGTTCATGACTAGAGGCTGGGACAAGATGTGATGCCATGCATCTAATCCAGTCACCTTCATGTAGAACAAGCTGGATAAACAGTTATATGCAGCTTTAATTACACTTTCAAGAAGGAATTTCTCCAAGTTTCCACAATCAATAAATAATTCAGGGATTGATTACATGGATTTTGTTTTTGTATAACACCTCACACAGAAAGAATCTAGTCTGGACCAGACAAACCCATGATTGATATTATCATGATTTATGATAATCATGATAATGAACAATGTCCAATGCCACCTGGGTACAATCCACCCAGTCACCGAACATGAATACTGATTCAAGTGGACGTCTGCTACGACAAACATGGGACACTGGGGTCCTTTTCCAGAATATTCTAACCTAGAATCCCCACAGGGTAATGGCAGCTGATGAAACCATGAATGTGAAAGTCCAAATGTGTTTTCTAATCATACAATCTTGAAAAGTTTAATACAAGGCTTTCCGAACGACAATGATGGGCTGTATGACTTATACTGTCAAATCATCATCTATCATCTATCATCAAATCATGATCTCTGTCCAATAGATTGGTTTGTTGTTTAACGCCGCACTCAGCAATATTCCAGCTATATGATGGCAGTCTGTAAATAATCAACCACGCAATTGGGACATGCATCAACCAAGTCAGCGAGCCTGAACACCCGATCCCATCAGTCGCCTCTTACGACAAGCATAGTCGCCTTTTACAGCAAGCAAGGGTTGCTGAATACCTATTCTACCCCGGATCTTCACGGGTCCTGTCCAATAGGATAAACATTTGGAACATAAGATAATTTCCATATACCATGGGACGTACTGCCATACAATAACCGGCCAACTGAAAGACATTCCAGAAAGCCAATTTTTTTTTCAGTTTACAATTTTCAACCTTAAGGAACCTAATGATCATTGTCTGGAATAGAAGTTTAATTTCCAACACTGTGTCACCAGTGGTAAATTCTACGATCTGCATCATTCCCCTCCTGTATCCATCTTCCGGAGGCAAGAGAGTTAACTGACTTAAAAAGTCCAGTTTCCATCCTTGCCGAACTAGACTGGAATTCCTGGGCTCGATCGTAGCGCCACCAGTGGCTATTACCAGTTATGACCCTACTAAACCTCTCCTATGGACCCATCAGATTCCACCTCTCATATCACTTGCGTTTGCTTCACACAAAATGGTGGCGCCCAGTCAGGACGATCTGATCGATAATCGAGTTCTCTATCGTGATAAAACGGGTCCTACATCGCGTAAGGCATCTAATCACGTGAGCACCTTGATAAAAAACATGAAAGGATTTGGAAAATATCAGCTGACAACGAGTTGGAGGTGTACATGCTTTGCAAATCCTGCAATCGACCGAAATCTGCATGACAGTTTACGAACCGGATTTCGATTTCGGTGCGCGATTTTGATTGGACTATGCATAGACTCGTTAGTCCAGCCAAAATGTAACTCCATAATACCAGCCTAGTTCGGCAAGGGTGGAAACTGGACTTTTATTGTAAGTTAACTCCCTTGCCTCGGGAAGATGTCCTGGTTCAGTCTGACACGCTGATATAATCCATCACTCAACATGCTCAGTATTTCAGTGAATATATTAACACCTACATCGCAGCACTTGCACCGTAGTCGTGGAACAGCACGTTGGCCAGCAGCATGATAGTTGTCATGGCATAGATTGTGTCAGTGCTGACTGTCTCTGTCAGGGACACTAAGATCGGTGACAGACCAAAACTGAAGCCGGAAAACAGAACCGCCGTCTTCAGATCGTCCATCACTGGATAAGAAATTAAGCAAAGCATTTACTTTTTCAATTTCGAAAATATCTGTTAAAAATTTATTCCTTATTTGGGCCATTCTACAAACAAATATGATTTCACAGAAACATGACACGAACAAATGTTGTTTTAATACGTTATTGCTACATCCTATTAATATTCCAGCTGTATCACGATTGCAAAAATTTGGAGTAAACAAGTGGTTAACAGCCTTTGTTGTACGATTGCACACTATCCCTCGATCAACATTTTTCAGTCAACTCTTACAACAAGCAACAGGTATCACAGGGACTTATTCTGCACGGAATACTCATAAGGTGAATGCCTATAAAATCAACTAAGCAAACCTTCTGTCTAGTATTTATCGAATTGAATATATTATGAATATATTATGAATATAACATGCATGCAGAGTTTTACAGGGTGCAAATTAGTGCATCAGCATAAAACTAGTCTAGTGCCACGGCACCCCAGCTGTAGTCAACGGTCTAAAATGTCAACAAAGAAAATGCTGCTGCCAGTTTGTTTCTTGTTTAACGCCGCACTCTGCAATATTCCAGCTATATGATGGCGGTCTGTAAATAATCGAGTCTGGACCCGACAATCCAGTGATTGATATCATGAGCATCAATCCACACATCAACAAAGTCAGCGAGTCTGACCATCCGATCTTGTTAGCCGCCTGACAACAAGTATAGTCGCCTTTTACAGCAAGCATGGGTTGCTGAAGACCTATTCTAACCCCAATCTTCACGGGTCAGTTGTTGTTAGTATTGATATTCAAATATTCAAACACACACTTTTAATCATACAACGATCAAGACATAAATAGCTTTTTCAATATGGCTGCCACGGTGGCACCTCATTGGAACCTCATGAATTCTGCTTCCAACAAGCATGTGAAGTTTCAGCTTCATTGGTCCAGTAGTTTCTGAGAAGATGGTGTTTACAGGGTTTGTATCTCTGACACACGCCTACAAAGACGGCAAACTTACTTGTCCTCTTGGACTGGGACCGACTCTGTCCACCATCGATGACTTCATTGAGGAGGTACGCCACGACAGTTACCCCAGTGGACACAACACACAGACTCTCCGCCGACAACCATTTCTCATTCATGTACACAAACACTATCACAAACAAGCAGACGCTGGAACAGGAGATGACACCATGTAAAATAACCCTATTACATGTAAATATTTAACGATACACATTCAATCATGACTGAGGAAAACCTTGGACTACATCAGCCACAGGACTCTCCTAAAAACATTCTGGTGTGCTTTTGGGATTTAAGTGTGCCAACAAGAAGAAAAGCTTTCTCTAAAATTACATAAAAAGGTGTGATTGTACAGTTTTTTTATCACTCTGGCTTCACATAATATACATCATCACAAGGTATTTTTGTGTTTGTTTGTTTGTTCGTTGTTTAATGCCGCACTCAGCAATATTCCAGCTATATGACGGCAGTCTGTAAATATATGAGTCTGGACCAGACAATCCAGTGACTGATGTCATGAGCATCGATACAAGCATTTTGACTTATGCTCAGTGAGACTTGGTGTTGCTTTTGTAAGTATTTCTGTTCTATCACAGCATGTCAGCTTAATGTGTGAGGAACCAAGGAACACCAAGAACGATAATCAGGACAATTCTAGAATTTAAACCCATGATAAAAAATGATGCTGCTTTGCAAATTGAATTGCATATGCTCAATACATCTGTAAAAAGAGACCTGGCAGTTTATGCTACTGGTACCTGCTAAGATGCTGAGTAATCACTCCTGACTCGTAAACCAGCGGCAGGTATTCATATTTCCGGGTGTACACTGGCAAACAAAAAGATGTAAACATTTCAACTAATACAGGAATATATCTATTTATTGACTTATGTAAATTTACATTTGTAAGAATAGAACAAACAGTACAAATAGTGCTTTTCAGACTCTCAGCTAGATTTCCACTTTTAACCATTGTTGAGTGATGGTGGATTCGTAAACCAATTAAAATTCATGCATACATGTTTCACTGACATATTTGACATTGTCGTAGTGTTTTATATCCCATTTGAATTGGCTACTTATGTACACAAATTCACAATCAATGACAGGCCAAACGATCTACCATGACAGGTGACAATGTATATTACACACACATCAACCATATGCACAGTTGTGCTTGAGTATTTTTCTGTTTTTGAGTTATTACTAAATTGAACTTATTTGCGGCCATAATGACAATAATGATCAATTACGTAATTTAGATTAAATTCCAACTAAAATCCATTTAAAAACAGAGCCACTGCAATCATAGGCGCCTTTGGATATCATTGAAACTCTACTAGCCTAATCACCACAGTCCAACCAAACATGGGAACATGAGGCGAGAATGAACAATGTCCGGAACATATGGAAATCATCATCATACAATCCAGTTACGTATCGTATGATACTATCGCGACACAGTTCATGAGACATGACATTTATTTCTCATTTCGTGTTTCTTATTCATAACCCTCAGAATCAAATCAGGACCAAACGCTTCCAACAAAGGTCTTTCGAATTAGACATGGAAGATTTTCGTTAGATGAAATATGCAAGCATACAATTCTTCTTTAATTCATCCAAGAAACTGGCGTCGACGTAGTTATCAGGAACACCTTGGTCCTCGTAGAGGATCTTTCGCCACTTTGGTTTGGCAGCCATTTTGACGATCACGTGATGTGGTGTACAAAAGTTCTCGATGAGTTTAGTATTTAAGTATAGTTTTATTATTAAGGAGTATTTCATGTTAGATATTATCTGAATACACTGTATGAATATATGTCTGTTAAAAAGTATATAACAATTTACTCGTTTCTATGGACGTGACGTCACGGGTTATGACAACAAATATGGCGGACGGCAGAAGAATTTATGTGGATGTGTAAACATTTAAACGTCCATCCTAAGTGGTAGATGTCAGCAATTATATACTGATAGTTTTCGTTGATGGTTTGACAATTCAATATTTTCATTGTCACGCATAAGTAAACAGTCATGCCGCCCAAGAAGAAGAAGAGCGGAAAGAAGAAGGGGAAAAAGAGTGGAAAGAAGTCTGGACGTGGATCTCCAGCCAAAGTTTCCACCGAACAGCTCAGCGAATTGTCCAAAGAATTTTTCCTGATACAAATCAGAGATCTTGAGAACAGACTCGTCAGGTTTGCTATACTTTTCATGTCAACTGTAATGATGTCATTGTAGAATTCTGTAAATGATTTGACAAAATGCAAAGAGAGTTTAAGAGCATTGACTGAATTTGACATTTATGTTATAGTATTGATTTATTTGACAAATATTTTGAATACAAAATAACAGCTTTTACCAGGACACATTAATATATGTTCCCAACTATAGGTCCAAATACATGAACAGTGTCATGCATCAGTTGACTAGCAGTAGAAGTGTACATGTCATATTTATGAATATTGATTGACTGAACACTGTTATAATGCAAATAATTAAATTGTAACATGTTGAACACATATTGAAAGAAATATTTTAAAGTACATTGAATAATGCTTTGAAAGGCCATGTTTTTGTTACAGTTGTTGAGGGTTAATTTTGCCATGTGATCACATTACTGATCCTTGTATCATTGTTCTGATCGGAAGAATGTTGATATTTCTGTCAACCACTGGTTTGTCTGGTAATGGCTTGATTATTTACAGCCCTCCACAACATAGCTGTAATACAGTGCTGTAAAACAACATTCATTCATCTGTTGTCATTTCAAGTCTTCATTAGTTTGCCTGGTACACTGATAGATGAGGATACTGATGGGAATACTGCTTAGCATAAAGCAACTACCGTATTCGACATAATAAGTGCCCCGCTCTAATAAGTGCCCACGGCGATATTTGCTAATATATTGGCAAGTGAACAATCCCAATTAGCACCCCTTCCGATTGATCAATGTACACAAGACTCATTTATTCTTGTATAATATGTGTGTTATATGCATCCTTAGTTGTGGGAAATAAAATTCTTGAAAAATATATCTGTCGTATATATACATTTCAAGCTCTCAGCATAAACTACAAATTTTACGATCTTCCAACTATGTTGTTTTTCACCAAAATAATATTCTAATATGAGCCCCTTATTTCTAATGTTGAGAGTGCCCTGGGCGTTTATTAAGTCGAATACGGTAAAAGAAAACTATTGTAAAAGTTAGATAAGTCAGTGATTAACGTAAACTGTCCATAAAGCGCTGCATAGCATAAATTAAATAAAACTATATTCAACCTGACAGCTTGTCCGTTATTCAAGGTATTTTTTTCTAAGCTGAAAAATAATGACTACTGACTAGATGTCCGAAATGTTTACTGACTACTGACGTGGAACACACCCCATCAAGACCGTGATAGCTTAGTCCTTCATTCAACTTTTCTCTTAATCGGTTTTATCATCCCAAACCGGCTCCCACAGGAGATATCGCTTGGATGAGATCAAGCGATATCTAAACTGTAGATATCGCTGCAATGAAATTACATCACAATGCTTTGCAGACCATTGTGACGCCACTGGTTACCATGACGTCACAATCAAATGACATCACTAATGGCTCTGCTACTGAAGCTGTAAGCAGTACTTTTTTACACTGAAGACACTGCTAATTACTGTTGAAAAAGCTGGAAGAATGATGTTGGATGATAAATAAAATCTCCCCCTTGTGTCTTTTGATATCAAATATATCAACACTCGTTGATAAAAGTGGCAAAAATCCTCGACAAGCCTCAGAATTTTTCCACTTTTATCAACTCGTGTTGATATATTTCATATCAAAAGACACTCGGGTGAGATTCTCTATATGTCATCATTGGTCTAGTGGTTATCAATGTACTTAAATAGGGATGCAACTTACCGTATTCGTTGTAATAAGCGCCTAGGGTGCTCTCAAAATTAGAAATAGTGGGCTTTTATTAGAATATTATTTTGGTGAAAAAAAACAGAGTTGAAAGATAAATTTTGTGGTTTATGCTGACAGCCTGAAATGTTTATATACGAGAGATATATTTTTCCAGAATATAATTGCCCATAATTAAGGGTGCATATAACACACGAGTGCATATTATACGCGAATAAATAAGTCTTGTGTACATTGATCAATCGGAAGGGGTGCTAATTGGGATTCTTCACTAGCCAATATATTAGCAAATATCGCTGTGGGCGCTTATTACAGCGGGGCGCTTATTACGTGGAATACGGTAATCTTAAAGATTTACTAGCCAGAATAGTGATACCCTATAAGAACACCACCTAAACATTAGACAAACTGACTCATGCTAGGGAGCTAGTGCCAATTTGTGTCCCGTTAATAACTAATTGTCATGTATAATTCATTGTTGGGATTGGTCACTTGTGACAAACTATAGGATATGAAAATTGGATAGGAAATGAAAGAGTGAATTATTCAGTATCTATAGTAGATTCAGTTCTATTTCTGTACATCTTCCCGAGGCAAGGGAGTTAACTGACTATAAAAGTCCAGTTTCCACCCTTGTTGAACTAGGCTGGTATTATGGAGTTACATTTTGACTGGACTAACGAGTCTCTGCATAGTCCTATCAAAATCGCGCACCGAAATCGTTTCGTAATGTGTCATGCAGATTTTGGTCGACTGCAGGATTTGCAAAGCATGTGCACCGCTAACTCTTTGTCAACAGATATTTTCTAAATCTTTTCATGTTTTTAATCAAGGTGCTCACGTGATTTGATGCACTTTGCGATGTAAGACTCGTTTTATCACAATATAGATCTTGATTATCGATCAGATCGTCTTGACTGGGCGCCACCATTTTGTTTGAAGCAAATGCAAGTGATACAAGAGGTTGAATCTGATTGGTCAATAGGAAAGGCATAGAAAGGACATAACTCGTAATGGCCACTGGTGGCGCTACAATCGAGCCCAGGAATTCCAGCCAAGTTCGGCAAGGGTAGGAACTGGACTTTTAAAGTCAGTTAACTCTCTTGCCTCGGGAAGATGATTTCTGTAAGGCCTAAAAATATAACACACACTCCGCTCCCCACTTCAACCACAATAAATATGCATCTTTCCAGTTTCTTTACTGAACCCTTCACCTGGCGTCGCCTACTCAAAATCTTTTTCCTCTTTTATCTTGAGTTACACAATCCCATTTCCAGTAATGCCTTCTCTTTGTGCCACCACAAACTAATGCCAAGATAATAATAAGGTGTCCAAACTTTCAAAATCTCTCTCAGACAACCAGTCTCAACCACACACGGAAATGAGAACTAAAAGAGCCAAAATCTAGCAAAGTGACTTTGGTCCTTTTGGAACTTGACTTTGGCCCTTTTATATAATTTTAAGTAGCTATATTTCAAAAACGCATCAATGAAAACATACAATATTTTTCCTACAGGTAGACAAAAACTCATAGATTTTATTTATGCAATAATATGCAAAAAGGGCCAAAGTGCATTTTGGCCCCTTTTAGCTCTAAGCTCTTCAATTGTATTAATGACTTAAAATGGTTTCCTCATTTCTTAAATTATGCTTATCCATGGGCCAAAAGGGGCCTGAAAACACCTTCTCCTTTAGGTCATCTAAATGAGCTGACTAAGATGGTAATATGATTGGCAGGTGATCGTATCCCAATGTGACCTTTGCTTTCAGCATGGATTCAGTCACTAGATTGAAAAGTCCCTGCTTTCATGTTGCTGACTGTGGCATAAAACAACAGCCTCTCACTTGATACATCATCCTAATACTTCTACCAATCTCTATTACTCGTGAAGATCCAGGGTAGAATTGGTCTTCAGCAACCCATGCTTGCCATCAAAGGCAACTATGCTTGTCATAAAAGCGACTAACAGGATCGAGATCAGGCTTGCTGACTTGGTTGGTGCATGTCATCGTATCCCAATTGCGTGGATTGATGCTCATGATGTCAATCACTGGATTGTCTGGCCCAGACTTGATTATTTACAGACCGTCGTCATGTAGCTGGAATATTGATGTGTGTGGCATTAAACAACAAACAAACAAACAAACAAAGACTAATCTGTCTTATTAATCCCTGCAGGTATCAGAAAAAGTGTGATGAGCTTGAAGTTGGAAATGCCCAGTTCCATGCCAAGTTTGACCAGATGGACACGGATAAGAGGGAGATCGTGTCCTTCTGGAAACAACAAGTGGAGAAAAAGTGTAAGCTTCTGCATCTTATAACAAGCTGTACAACAATAAACAGTAGCAATAATGCATACACCCCAAGAAATTAATTATTACAATTTCATCCAATGGTACATTGAAGTATATAACATTGACTAGTGTTTTAATTTCTTGAGTGTACTTTGTTTTTTAATATTGGTTAGCATTGCATTCAGCCACTGGTAACCAAAGTGATGGCATTAATCCTGCTGGGAATCATGCAGGAAGCAAAAGCACTGTAAGTCACCATGATCCCCAGTTAGGTGGTCTAGCTTTGGTTGCTAGTAGTCTATAGCATAGTCTTGATTGATACTAAATAATCTATTGTAAAATGATGTGTTTTAATATTGATCTGGTTTGTTTTATACTTTAACTGTGATACTTACCTTACTGTTTCACTCTCCTTTGTCGACATATTTAATGATAAATAACTTATTCTCATCGCAATATGGCTGCAGTATTGCCATGTATCGCGATGTAAAATTTTAACTCAATCTAA